CAAAATTTTTTTTTCCTTTTTATCTATGTACAACTATCCCTCGGGCTTTCAAATTACCCATGGCCATGCGTGTTCTCGTATTATCCCACCCGAAACAACTTTCATGCAGTGATCTAATATACCTCTTGAGTATATAGTAGAACCCTTATGGATTAACCGATAAGTGACTTGATGCTCTTATTACCACCCTGCTTGTGTTTCTTTTCCCTTTTTTTTCTACTACTTTGCATGGAACAATTGCGGATTTTGTAGTTTGTGCACAGATAGATTCAGGGACAATATATATATATATATATATTTTTTTTCCAATGCTGCAAGGACACTTGACCTGATACGCTTTATATTTATTTCCCATGCAAGATGCTAAGTACCGTATGAATTATTGTCTTTGTTGGTCTTGCATGAAACTTCCCATCAAGAATTGGTTAGAACGTTATATCTGCCAATCATGCTTTAAGATGAAAACATGATGCACTATGAGCGGTCATATAGAAATATTTGACGGTTGCTTCGACCAAATTGGTGTCACCCGCTATCCACATCCTGTCGATGCCATTTTTTTTATTTGGCCCGTAGGATTTTGCTTTCCTATACTTAATTGCTAAACGGAACTTCGGCAATAGACTTCGCGCATTTATTTTGATGCACCCTTGACGTTGTGTGTCTATTTCCGACACCAGTTTCCAACAGCAATTCTCCAAAGGGAAGATTAGCCTCGGGGGAACTTTGCCGAACCACAAGCATCAATCATCATTCATCGGCTGAACTCCAAAATTTCTTACTCACCAGGTACTTGAAGCTTCTTTTTTTGTCCGCAATGTTTAATTGCTACAAGAAGCTTCGGTCGATTGAGAGCCTTACCAAATAAATTCTCAAAACATTATTTGAGAATGAAGCTCGAGTCTCGGCTGGAAGATTGAATTGACCGAATGACGATTGGCCCAAAATATAATTTGAGCTACCCTTTAAATATTATTCGAAATCATGTGTACCCTTTAAATATTACTAGAAAATGAAGATTGGCTCAAAATATTATTTTTTGAGCTATTCCTCCGGGTTGAAATTTAACCTCAATTTTCGTACCATTATTGTTTTATTTTGTTTTTGTTTTTGTTTTTTTTTGCTTTTTCTCATCTATTAGGACAATACCAAATATGATATTTGAGCAAATATTTCCCTTCTTTTTGCTAGAACTTTGACCTTAAAAATAATAATAATAATTATTTTTTTTCTTTTTTTTTTGCCCCAGTCCATGTCAATATCTCAACTTTACTAACTTGCTCCTTTGTAGATACCCCATCTCGTGCCTGAGTTTGAAACACTTTCAGGGATTTGAAGAGAGCCACCGATTAGGTAATTTAATTACCAAAATTTTGTAAGAAATTCCATTCATTGTCTAATACTTTCCTTTTCAAAATTCTAGCAATCATGCAAATTAAGAACTACGCCGTGCCACTGCCGCATATTTCACTAACGGATGAACGGGGAGGAACTCAATCAAAGAGCTTGTCACTACATGTTTACAAACCAGCTATCGGTCCGCTCGCTGAATCCTTCATACCCCTTGAAGGATGCTTCCATCTCGAAAATTGGACTAGCAAGTGGACTAAGGAAGTGGTGGCACCGTCGACTTTCTCCACTGCGTCGAGGGAAGAAGAAGTGATCGTGTTAAACTCGTCTCTTCACAATGGAGATCCAGAAATAGCCAAATTCATGCTTCCGTTCGTGGGATTCAATATTGACAAAGCTACATGGAAAACCCCTTCGTTCTTCTTCGGTGAGGCGTGCTTCATCTCCCATTATTGGGAGTGGGTTGAGAACATGCTTGGAAGATATAAAGACACACTCACTCGCGCTGGCATATTTGAAGCCGTCTATGCGTCGAGATATTCCTACGACCGCTGTGAAAATATCTTGCGGGCCTTCTTCAAATATTGGTGCCCCTCGACGAACACACTCCATACGCCCGTTGGGGAGTTGTCCATCACACTTTGGGACTTTTATCGACTTGGTGGCCTTTCGATCGATGGCTCGTTCTTCGATGAAGTTGTTCCTTCGACGCAGGAGCTCCTCACTCGTGACAAAGAAGGGAAGCCACTTCTCCCCGAGAGTTGCAGGCACCTTTTTTCCGCTTACTACCACCTTTGGACGAATGACCAAGGGGTATGGATGAAGGACTGGATTCGCTTCTGGTTCAAAGGAGAGACTAGGTATAGGGCTCCTCCGAGTAGGGCGAATAGAAGGAAGACCACATCTAAATCAAAAATGACGTACAACCCTTCTGGAAGCATGGAGCCTTACGACCTTACCGATACGAATGACTTCAACGTCCCTTTCGACACACTAGGTATCCCAGGGTCTTTAAGGAAGGAAACCTATATTGCGGCATTCATAGCGTATTGGATTTGCAAGTTCCTTTTGCCAAGCAAAAAGGTCGATCGTATTCGCCCAAGTGTCTTCAAGGTTACATGCTTAATGGCCACAGGAAAAAGATTTTGTCTTGCAATTCCCGTTCTTGCGAGCATATATCATGGGTTGAGGGAGATCGTCCACACCCTTAACCTTGGAGAATGCGGAGTAGTTTTTTCAATCCATTACGTCTATGCTGGATTGGCCAATACTTTGACGTATATCACGAGAATAATCAAGTGGGTAGCCACCATGCGCGCATGACGAGATTTAGCGGTGAGAAAATGGCCATATTTTATGGCCGATCAGAAGCTGAGGAAATCTTCAAAGAAGTGAATCCTTTGAGGCTTCCTAAATTGTGCTGGACTGAGAATGAAGAAAAGGTGTTGATCGATTATGGATCCTTATCATCAAGACTCACGAGCTACTTCATTAGTCAGCGCTCTTGCCATTTAACTCTACATAAGGACAACACTTTCATTATAGAAAAATATAATCCTTGCAGGTTTAGCAGACAATTCGGCTTTTGTCAAGACATTCCCAACAACTTGAAAGAAATCACTCACACTTACACTTTGGGTGAGGCTATTCAACTATGGGACTCCTCAGTTCGCACGCAGACGCGATCTCGAATGACTATACCCACGCACAGGAAACATCCATTGATCACTAAAGACTATGACGTCTGGTGGTCGACTCGGTCAAATAGTTTCTCTTCAGCTTCCTTTAAATTCACCGTTAAGATCCCTCAGCAATCATCGAAGAAGGGTAAGATTACCTCCACCAATGAGTCAGTGCATCATAATGGAGTTATAGAGATTGTAACGGGTCTTACCTCATCCACCCTGCGAAAGAACATAATTACTAGCAGTCCCTCAAAAAACATTGTCGCAAGAAATAAGTCTTCCAAGGACTCTCGACAGGCCATCAACGAGGCGCAACCAGTGATTCCAGCAAAGAAGGCGCCGCCCAAATTTTCAAAATCCTTATCGGTGACTCGCACTGAAAAAGATGTCGAAATTGAAATGGTGGACGATCGTGATTCTATTAAGGCTATAGAAAAGGAAGGGACCCAAGCTCAGGGCATCGAATCTACCCAAGGAGGAGCCCATTCGTTGGTAAGTGGTAGTAGTAGTCAAGACCGTCACTGGAACGGATCAAAGAAGAGGACATCTTCTGATTTGGAGGAGATTTCCTTTACACCACCGTCAGTTGGAGTGTCGCCACTTAAAGTAATCATCTCTCCATCCTTTTTCCCTTTTCGTAATAATTTTTTTTTGGTTGTAACTTTTTCCTTTTCAGCCCTCGTTTCTTGAATTTCGTCAAGAAGGTGTTGATAACAATTCACCACCCGAACTCGAAACTGATGATATAATTTCAAACAACAAAAGTGACGAAATAGCTATCAGTACTCCAAGACAATTTGCCCCCATTGGAGACACCTCGTCACTGCATAAGAAGGAGCTGACTAATTCGCACGAAATCCAAAAAAGACCTAAGGTAGTACTGGTTTTAGAATTTCATGGCCAAAAGCTGATTCAGGCACATCGAAGAAAGTACTTGCAGAATTTGTGGATGGATTTTCGAGGACAGATTCTTGACACTCCAACTGAGCAGATCTCTTCTTTAAAAGAGTGTGCAGAGGAAATCATTGCGGAAATCGCAAGAACAGATCCTACCAATGGTCTCCCTTTAAAAGACCACTTGATGGAATTGTTTGCCAAGGCGGCGGCGTATGATGTCTTGGCATCTTCATCGTGGGAAAGGATGAGCAAAGAAACACATGCCGAACTCCTTTCCAAAGCGACCGTCTAATTCGAGAGAGTTGAGGCAAAGGAAGAAGAACTAACTTGTCACTTGCAAAGTCTTGAAGAAAAGTTGCAGTCCATCGAAGACAGGAAGAAAGTGTTGCAACAGGAACTTATCAATTTGGAGAAGCAAAACCTGAAAATCAGTTCGACTATCGATCAAAAGTATGAGACTTTCAAAGAGATTCAGACCGAAATAACCCAAGCGCATGATGAGCTATCTTCCATTGAAAATACTAGCATCTTGACTGATGACGCTGTGAAGGAACTTTAAGACATGAAATTTGCACTTGAATCATATAAAGTAGTTGTAGTGGAATACAAATTTGATATTTAAACTTTCCACCATGTTCTTCTTTTTCCTGAATTTTTTTCATGTAATGAATTGTTTTTTTTAATAATAAAACGCTTTCCATTTCTTATCTCTTATTTTTTTTTAAAAAAGAGAAAAGAACTCAAATGGAGCATTTTATTTATTTATTATTTTTTTTTTGAAAAGAGAAAATTCTTTTCCTTTTTTTTTAAGGGACAAGGATTTGATTTGGAGTGGTGTAACTGAACTTAGAAGTTGCCCTTCAAGCTGCCTACGTATCCCAACAAGGGAATCAAATTACACGTAGTTCCTGCCGTTCACATTTTAACCTCATGTGGGTCAGGAGTATCTATTTGTTTACCACCTTAGACTTGGTGGAGTGTTTCAGTAGTTTAACCACATACTACACTATTGGTGGTTGCCATCCACAGTTTTAGCTCATGCGGACCAGGAGCATTGCGCGGTTCCGATTACGCATAGTACCTTTTTAGGTACTTGCCATTGATGGGGCCAACCCTTAATCCATCTTCAGCAACCAACTTGTATGAGCCATTCGTATATACTTCTCGAACGACATATGGACCATCCCACTTAGGAGTAAACTTTCTTTGTCCTCCATGAGTGAGAATGATTGGTCTCCGAACAGCGAGTACTAACTCCCCAATTTGGAAGGAGCGTGGCCGGACATGCTTATTGAATGCTTTTGAAAGGCGGGCTTGATAGCACTCAATCCGTTGTTGGGTTTCCAATCTCTTCTCGTCGAGTGCTTCTAACTCTTCAAGACGAAGACGGACATTATTTTCTTCACTGAACCCTTCTTGAATCGCAATTCTTAGCGATGGTATTTGACATTCAAGTGGAAGAACAGCTTCAACGCCATAAACAAGCGCGTATGGGGTCGCTTGCGTGGGAGTTTGAAAAGTAGTTCGGTATGCCCAAAGTGATTCTCCAATTCGAAAATGCTAATTCCTTCTCGATTTATCCACGATTTTCTTCAACATGTTACATAATGTCTTGTTGAATGCTTCAGCGAGTCCATTTGTAGCAGCGTAGTACATGGACGAATTGTATTGTTTGAAATGAAACTTTTCGCAAAGTTTGTTCATTGCTACATTGCAAAAAGGCTTACCATTATCGGTGATAATATAACGCGGAACTCCATATCGATAAATGATGTGCAAGCGAATGAAATCTACTACATTCTCCTTTTTGACCTCTCTTAAAAAGACCGCTTCAGCCCACTTTGAAAAGTAATTTGTCGCCGCCAAAATGAAAATGTGACCGCCAAAAGACTTTGGAAGTGATCCAACTATATCCAAACCCCAAGCATCGAACGGCCAAGAAGCCACAGTTGGGTGCAATGGCTTAGGAGGTTGATGGATGAAATTTTCATGGAATTGACATGCTTGATATCTCCTAGCAAAGTCAATGCAGTCCTTCACCGTTGTTGGCCAATAGTATCCCATTCTTTTAATGCGAAAGTGCAATTTCGGGCCAGACTGGTGAGCCCCACATATCCCAGAGTGAGCTTCCTCCATTGCTTGCATGGACTCATCTTCTCCAAAACACCGTAGAAACACCCCATCGAATAATTTTCGGTAAAGCGTCCCTTTGTAGTAAATGAAACGTGGCGCTCGACGACGTATATCAACCCTTTTCTTAGGATCTTCTGGTAACTTCCCATGATTAAGATAATCAATGATGAGGTGACGCCAATCCTCCTTTTCAATCTCATGGACAAAAATATGTAAGTATTTTCTCCCTCACCATCATCTTCTTCATCAAACATCTGAGGTATGATCCAATTTTGTCATATTGAAATTTGATTTCGATGAGAAGGTAGGGTGATCATGGACGCCACCCTTGCCAAAGAGTCAGCTTGTTGGTTGAAATTTTTAGAGATATGTTCTATAGTGACACTATCTAAATATCCCATGAGTTGTCTTGCATACTTATAATATGGGATCAATTCAGGTTTCTTGACATCATAAATACCAAGAAGTTGATTTACCACCAATTTTGAATCACCATAGACTCTAAGATGCAACTGCTTCATGTCTACAGCCGTTTCAAGACCAAGAATTAACACATGATATTCGACCACACTGTTTGAGCACCGGCGTGTTAAAGTAAAAGAGAACAGCAATATATCTGCTTCAGGAGTATAAAAGACAACTCCCGCACCAGCTCCATCACGGTGAGCAGATCCATCGAAATACATCGATCATGAAGATTCGACCATAAACACTTCTTCATCGGAAAATTCATCAGTCAACTCCCACTCGACAGGTACGGGATGATCGGCTAAAAAGTCTGCCAATATTTGCCCTTTGACGGCCTTCGCGGGTACAAAAATAATTTCAAATTGTTGAAATTGGAGGTACCATCTCGCGAGTCGATCAGACAGTACAGGTTTTGCCATGACATATTTAATGGGATTAGACCTAGATATGAGTCGAATAGTGTGCGCTTGAAAATAATGTTTTAGCTTCTGAATGACAAATATAAGTGTCAAACACAACTTCTCGATGGGTGAGTAATTCAACTCATTAGGTGTCATCATCAAACTCAAGTAATACAGCGCATTCTCCTTACCTTCATCGTTTTCTTGAGCAAGTAAGGCTCCAACCGACCGTTCTTGAGCGGAAATATAGAGAATCAATGGTTTTCCTGGGATGGGTGCAGCCAACACTGGAGGATTCATGAGATACATTTTGATGCTTGTAAAGGCATTCCTACACGATTCATCCCACTCGAATGGCACCCCTTTCTTCATCAGTCGACTAAAGGGTTGGTATCGTCCGGCCAAATTAGAGATAAACCTCCGGATATATGCCAACTTCCCTTGAAGGCTTTTCAATTCATGAATATTTCTCGGTTCAGGCATGTTCACAATGGCGTCGATTTTAGATCGATCTACCTCTATTCCCCCTTGATAAACAATGAAATCGAGAAACTTGTCAGAAGTGACTCCGAATGCGCATTTCAAAGGATTCATCTTCAGTTGGTATCTTCGAAGGCATTGAAAAACTCTTCGAAGGTCTTGAATATGATCCTCTCGCTTCTTTGATTTCACCACAAGGTCATCAACGTAGCACTCCACATTCCTATGGAGCATATCATCAAAAATTATTTGCATTGCCGTTTGATATGTCGCTCCAGCATTTTTCAAGCCAAACGGCATCACTTTATAGCAATAAATTTCCTTGGGGGTGCGGAAGGCAGTGAACTCCTCATCTTCGGGCGCCATACGTATTTGATTGTAGCCAGACGATCCATCGAGAAAATATAGCGCTTCGTGCCCGGTCGTAGCATCTACCGTCAATTCCGTGATGGGGAGCGGAAAATCATCTTTGGGGCAAGTCTCATTTAAGTCACGAAAATCAACACAAATTCGGATTTGCCCATTCTTCTTCCTCACAGGGACAATGCTTGAAATCCATGTTGGATATTTCACTTCCCGGATGAACCCAGTTTCGATCAGTCTATTTATCTCATTTTCTATCAAAGGAATCAATTCGGGTCGAAAACGTCTTTGAGTTTGCTTGACAGATTTTGTTCCTCGCTTGACCGATAAGTTATGAACAGCGACTCTAGGATCTAAACCAGGCATCTCTGAGTAATTCCAAACAAAGACATCTTTGAACTCGAGCAGCAAATCAACATACTCTTTCTCTTCTTCAGGGGTCATACAAGAACTTATGTAAATTGGGCGAGGGTCATCGCTTGTGCCAAGATTAATCTCTTTTAGCACATCGACTGTATTTTTTACTCCTTGTTCAAATTCAGTGGGAGCGTCATCTGCATCTTCTTCTTCTTCTTCAGGATCACTGATCGTGATATGATGACAGGAAGCCGTACTTTCTTGATCCTGTTCTTCAAAAATAGTTTCAATTCTTACATTGAATAAGTCTCCATAGTGCATGAAGAAATTAGAGACTCGCTTTCTTGGTCCGTTTTTCCTTATTAGAGTAGCACTTTCTTCCTTGACAACTTGATACTCTTGATTTTTACTGCCTAATCTTTCATAGACAGGCGGTTTCAAATATTTCGGCTGCGGGCCAAGTCTGTCAAATACAGAAGTACGCTTTGACTTTTTTTCCAACCTATCTAACACATATCTCTTTCGGCTTGTGACCTCCATTTCCTCGTTCACGTAATTACAACTTGCCCTTTTGATCATTATACGCACTGGAGAAGGCGGTTGATAACCAAGACCCATCGGTGAATTTTCAACATTATAGCCCTTTTCTTTCAACATTTTCTGTGTAGGTGTTAATCCATGAGTTTTCTCGCCAGTCACCTCAGGAGGGAGTTTTCCCAATGCATGCTTTTCATTTGGGTTATAACCGGCCTTAGCAAGAAGTCTATATGCGTTTGGATCAAAACCTTCTTGAGTTCGATTGGTTGGTAGTGAGTAATGCTCTATTGCCGGTTCTTCTTTAGGACGAACAAATCCTTGCAAGCTCACTTTCTCACTTTTAACAGGCTCTATTTTGGTGAGCGGAACATTTAATATGTCATTTCTGATAAAAGAATATTGCCCTTCTTCTCTCTTCGATTTTAGAATATACCATAAAATGGGTACCTTGAAATCTTGACTTTCTTCCTTTACTGATTCTTTTCTTTTTGCATCTTTCTGAAGGTAAAATTTGGCATCGGCAAAGTGAGTTTCGGCCTCAGTGAAAGGTTTATCATCGGCAACAACCTTCTTAACTATAGCGTCTCGACAATATTTGAAACATTGATGCAGAGTAGACAGTATAATTTCATTCTCGTGAATCCAAGGTCTTCCCAAGAGCATAGTATGAGAGGTTTTGGCCTCAATGATATGAAATAACGCATTTGAAGACAACTCGCCAATGAACAATTCAAGCCTTATGAGGCCAATTGCTCTTTGCCCCCTTGGTTAAATCCTTGGATCATGAGGCAGCTCTGGGAGAGTTCATCGCTTGAGATTCCTAACTCTTTCATAACCCATACGGACATGATATTGACAGCAGATCCCCCATCAATAAGTATCCGATTCATCTTCTGCTCTCGGACATACGCACTAACAAACAAAGGTCGATTGTGAGTTTTGAACTCAACAGTTAAATCGTCATCATCAAAGATGATAGTCATTGCACAATCCACTGGTGGTTTCTCATCGATTTTGAGTTTTTTCTCAAATTCCATGCCAATTTGTGTCACTTGAGAATTTTCAACTTTGACGACATTACAAGAGGTAGAGTTATCAGCATCGTCACTTAAATACCCCTTGGGTATAAATTCTCTCAGTGTCACGGGCTGTCGAGCCTCTTGAAGGAGCTGAAAATCTGAAGGAATTGGTTTCGTGGTCACTCCCTTTTGTTTCTTTGTTGCATTTCGTTGTTTCATTGTCACTTCAGGTTTTGTCGAATGAAGACTTTTCGAAAAGATGTACTTCTTTATTTTTTGCTTGCAAGTCCTCTTTCGAGTGATTAAATTCCATCCTTCGTTGTCATTTTCAATAACATCTTCAATTGAGGATTTTTCAAGCTCCTTGGACGAAGCGCTACTTGTTGTGGATAAAATTTCTATCGGACAACACACAGACCCAAACATTATTGTTGTTTGGTTTGTTGATACTTTATCTTCCTCGAGAAGGATTTTTCCTTGACGGGTCAATTCCATAATTTTGTCTTTAAAGACAAAGTATTTAGTGAGAGGGTGGCCAATCAAGCGATAATAACAGCAATAATTTGGATCATTGACTTGACCAGCTTTCTCTGGGCCCTTCATGTCGGGAAGTTCAAGGAGTTTTTTCTTGAAAAGATCATCAAACATTCCTTGTAAATCGGATTCGAGGAAGGGGTATTCCTTTTCTTGCATTTCTTTTAGAGTAAGTCTTCTTACCGACCTATTTTGAGGAGAGTCTACTCTTTCAGTGACTTTTCCACTCATTTTGGTAGCAATCTTCATGGGAGCTGTGTTTATTATCATGGACTCCTTACTACTGAATTTTGAAGGAGGTTTGCCCCCCGGCTGCACTCGCGGAGCTTGAATGGGAAGCCCATCAGTTGCATTGGCCGTGATGCTTAACTGCATATCATGAGCACGAGTAGCTAATTCTTCAAACGTATTTGGACGTATGCCCTGTAGAATATAGCTCAGGCTCCAATGCATTTTTCGGATGCACATTTCTATGGCAGAGGGTTCAGACAGTCTATCCTTGCAGTTGAGACTCAGACTTCTCCACCTATCAATGTAGTTGACCACAGGTTCATCCTTCCATTGACGAGTGTTACTCAACTCCAACATACTAACGATTTTTCTAGTGCTGTAGAAGCGATTCAAGAACTCTTGTTCTAGCTGTTCCCAACTGTCGATGGACCCCGGAGTGAGATCAGTATACCAATCAAATGCGTTACCCTTCAAGGATCGGACGAACTGTTTGACTAGCAGGTCACCATAGGTTCCAGCGTTATTGCAGGTTTCGACAAAATGGGCCACATGTTGCTTTGGACTGCCTTTCCCATCGAACTGTTGAAATTTAGGCGGTTGATATCCAGCAGGCATTGCTAGGTTGTCAATTCTAGCAGTGTAAGGCTTGCAGTAGGTAAAGCTTGACCTTGAATTACCCTCTTTTTTATCTTTGATCACGCCTTCAACAAGTTCTTTCAGTTGTTCCACGGGGATAGCTCCATCGGTGGTCACATAAACTTCCTTCACCTTATCTTTGCCTCTAGATGAGAAAATTTCACGCTCTTGGTGCTCCTTAGGATTCTCATGGCTTTCTTCAGCAGCGTGATCTTTCTGAGTGAGCAGTTGGGCAATGAGAGCATCTTGGTCCTTGATGTGTTTCATCATGGTTTCCATTATTTTGGACATGTTCGAAACTTATTTTTCAAGACTTAAAGTATTTGTCATCATGGCCGGCATTGCAGCAGAAGAAGCAGCAGAATTTTCAATAGAAAATCTTGAATGAAGAGTTTCATGTGAAGAGGCTGATCCAGTGCTTGATGAATCATCGTCATCCTTAGAGAATTTGGATCCGGATCCAAGTTCGAGCAAGGCAAGAGCCTTCTCAATCGAGACAGGAACATCTTGGATTCCCATCGTGAAAAAATAGCTTATTGGTGATGTTGAACCGAAGACGGGAGTTGGCATCGATGGATCTTCCATGCTACTTTGGGTGGAGGCTCTAGTCATACTCCTTGTCACGGGACCAATAGTGCAGGTATTGGTGGCAACGTGTGC